TATTTTTAGTAGAGACTGGATTTCACCATGTTGGCCAGATTGGTCTGGAACCCCTGACCTCAGGTGATCCTCCCACCTTGGTCTCCCAAAATGCTGGGATTACAGGCATGAGCCACCATGCCTGGCCTGCATTTCTACCAAGCTGTCAGGTGATGCTGCTGCTGCTGGTCCACAGACCACACTTTACGGAGCAGCATCTGGTGGGAAAGAATGAGCAGTGCAAGAGGAGCGTTCCTTCTTTGCCTTCTGTCTAGGGCAGGGGCTGAGTTCGTCATACCATTTTGTATATTGACCAAGTCTTTTTTTGAATGTTTACTTTATGGCAGGCATCATGAAGAGATACAACAGGGAAGAGGGCGATCGTGGTTCCTGCCTTACTGGAACTTACAGCATCTTGGGGGCACAGATCATAAACACCGGAATCTGAAAATTATCCTTTGAGGAAGGCTGAGCAAGAATTAATTCCCCTATTTTTTAGGTGAGGAGATGGCATCTCAGAGGGGCTACATGACTTGCTGAATGTTGCCCAAATGTTAAGTCACAGGCCTTGAACTCAGGACTTCTCAACTCAGAATCCGGCCCCCCTTCCCTGGCTGTGAGTCATCTCAGCTTCATGGACCTGCGTTGAGATGGGAGAGCTACAGGCCCTGTAGCTGCCAATGGGTGAAAGCTGCGGGCTTCATCCCTGTGTATGTAAGGAGAGCTTAGACAGACGGACAGATGGGTAGGCACTCATACTTACACCCCCGCACGTGGACTCTCAGTTCCTAAGACCTGGATAGGCACAGAGTTTCATAGTGAGTCACTTCCCCTCCTTTCTTCTCTGTTCACTTATTCCTATTCTCTCATTTCCTCTAATATTTGGCTTCCTTTCTGTTCACTTCTCCCTGTTCTCTCATTTCCTCTAAAGCTTTGGCCCTTACACAGTGCGAGATCTGCTTAAGTGATGGTCATCCCTTCCAATCAATATGGCGGCTTCATCTCAATGGCAATCCCTGGAGACCTTGGTGACCAAGGAGGAGCGTACCAGGAGCAAATTATGAGAGACCTTCGCTGAAGCATGATCAGCTTGGTTTCTGGCTTCTTGGTTCCTTGGTTCCTCTTGACCATGTGGTAGGGAAAATCTCTGCTTTCTCTACTACTGAGTTTCTCTGACACTCTAGTGGTGACCAAAACCAGCCGCAAATCTGACTCAGCGGGTTCATACAATGCTAGGTTGGTGAGATGAGCCCTCTCCTGAGTCAACAGTCTCTCTTCTCCGTTCTCATGGGGGAGACAGAACATGAGCCCCCAGGAACGGAGCAGCTCCTGGACCCCACTGGATCAATAAGGCTCATTCTTCTAGATCTCAAATGCCCATGGCATGTTCTTCCAAAGGGCAATTGTAGAAACAAGCAGATCACTCCCCCCAAAAGACCCATTCCCATGTTTACCAATTGAAAAGTATGTCGCTTATGGTAAGTTTTCAGGACATGAGAATGGTCAGCAGTCTTGATTTTATTGCAGTGAATAAAACATCATAAAAATGGATCAGTTCCACTGGTGGTTTAAATGATTGAGATTCATTCCAGTGTAGCAACAAAAGTTTCGGTAGATATTACCCCCATTTAATTCTCACAGCAACAGTATTGCTGCTCTGTTTTTCAGAGGTGGATAAATTTGCCCAGGGACAGGCAGCTGGTAAGTGCACAGTGAGGGTTTAAATCTAGCACTCTGCTTCCAAAGTGTGGTCAGTTTCACCCATGCTGCTCTGCCGCTGTGTTTTAGGCACTTGACCTAAGTCAAGAATGAGCAGCCTCTCTAGCCTAGGCCTAGTTTTTTTACTCTTTGAAAATAAGCCAGAAATTTCAGATCATTACAAATACCTTCCCTACAGGGCAGGGCTGATCAAACTGAAGTGTTATTCTCTGCTCTTTTATTCTCGGCTTTAAACCAAAGATTATGCAACACCCAGATAATATCTTCTGCTTGAGTGGCTTTCGCTCTCTGCTTTCAAGATGATGCTGGGTAGATCTAGATATCTCGCTTGTTTGGAAATTAGACACAGGTGGGGTAGGATGCTGTGCTTTCCCAAGTTGGCCTCAACTGTATCTCCTATCCATGTGCTCTTCTTACCATGTGACCTAGATGCCCCCTTCCCTCCAGTAGTGGGGTCTACATCCCCCTCAACTTCAAACCTGTATGGATCTTTGTAATTGCCCTGGCCAGGTATGGCAGGACTGTTGCCATGTGACTTCTTCATTTTATTTTCAGAGACAGTCTTACTCTGTTGCCCAGCCCAGTGTTATCATAGCTCACTGTAGCCTCAAAGTCTTGGGCTCAAGCAATCCTCCTGCCTTAGCCTCCTGAGTAGTTGGGACTACAGGAGTACACCACCACATCTGGATAATTACAATTTTTTTTTTCTTTTTACTTTTTTTTTTTTTTT